ATCCTGCACATGAGTCGGAACCACCTAAAGTGGTCTGTATGACAGGCTGGTGTATCTAATTACGTTCAGTGCTACAATCACGTGAAGGTTGTGCGATGTATCGCAAGTCACCTACGAGTCAGAACCACCTAAAGTGGTCTGTACGACAGGCTGGCACCTGCCTTGGATCCAAGGTGAGCGTACGGTGTGGGAGGTGAACGATCACGTGAAGGCTAGGCCCTACTCTGGTGGAGCACAGTCACTGAGGTGTAGGAATACAAGCTATAACTCAATCTCATCGATACCACATCTACCACTAACAACATACTCACCTGACTTACCTGAGAGTCTACGGCACTAAGGCATAACCAACACAATCACAATAATAATATCGACGATATTCGACATGGCATTTCAATTATAAAACCATTAAAAACGTAATTTCTGGAAAGATACCAATCAATATATATATATATATATATATATATATACTGAAAACAAAAGCCCACTCACTGGTACGTAGAAGGATCGTGAGCCCTGAGCCTCGCGTGGCTGCGCTCATCCTCCGGATAGTCCTCACCTATATGCGAAACAATTATAAAAACGTCAATTTAACGCACATAACCAACCTTAGGCAATAACTTCTCATACATTGCTCAATTAGGGTGTTTGAATATACCAACGTGATCTACACAACCTCACGAACATTCCCATATTTTTAAAATAATTTTCCGACCTCCCACGTGCCGGCCACACGAGATCATGTGCCTGACACGCGTGTGAAACCCTAATGGCGTTTGGGAATAATCCGTTAAAACCCTAACAGAAGTTAACGGCCGTTACTTGACGCCGTTAGAATATTCTGTCGTCCCCTACCTCAGGTAGTCGAATTCGGCGCCGACCGCCGCTGCGTCGTCGGATTCTGGAAAAACTTTAAACTAGCATTTCTCACTCAATTCTCAACTAAACTTCACAAAATTTATGTCAAAATGAAGCTTAGGACAAGGAGAAGAAGTTTATACCACTTTGGAGCACCAAAAACGCCGGAATCTCACCGGAGAAACCTCGATATTCCGGCCAAACTTGCAACTCGATGAACTCGAGCTTCTCGACGTCCAAAACACTTCAAAATTACTCCCCAAGCTTCGTGAAGATGTCCTAAAGCTTCCTAGAACCTCAGAAACCTCAGAAGCTTCTAAAAACCTCATGATCACGAGTGCATGAACAGTGCACCAAAACTGGGTTCTTGGGTTCTCGAAGGTTTCACGTCCAACCACCACCACCAATCGACTCCTGAGCTCGAGGGGAGTCCAAAAACACCAACAATAGACACGATCCGTGCATGAGATGGTTGGATGGATGATGTCCGTACAATGAGGAAGAAAATAGGAGAAATTTCGAGAGAAAAAGGAGAGAAGGAAGTCACAGGGGAAGAAGGGTTGGGTGTGTGGTCCAGGTGAGTTCACAACCAAAAACAAAACAAACCAAACACCCTACAACACTAAACAACGTTCAAGGGTAAAATCGTCTTTTCACACTAATGTTACAATTAGTCGTGGTTAGGCTGTCACACCTTTTATATAATGAAAATAAATAAATAATCATGTAACGAGCACATGTTCATGAGTGAAAAGTTGGAATATGAGTTGATGACTACTCGTAAATTATTGGATACAGTAGGCAAAATTACCAACATCATTCGTATACCAAAAATTATCATCGGAAATTCACAATGCTAAAATATTTTAAGAGAAATTTTATTTCAACCAATATAACTTCACACCAAAATCACTCACGCCAAAGTAGGAATAGACGACAAAGAGATGGGTTTTTTAACTTTAATCCTTTAAGAATATTGAAATTTAAAATAAATCTGGTGTTAGATTACATATTGATTATAATCCCTGAATGTGTCCTTAATTCAAAATAATTAATGTGCATTTTATTTAATGTCTCCCATTAAATATTTAAATTTATTAATGTACAAATTTTAATTTATTTTTTGACTAAAAAAGAGTTTTTTAATTTTATTTAATATTCTTAAAACTTGAAAGACTCAATTAATGTACTTAAATGTTAGTACCAAAATGTATTATATTGAACTAATGTATTTAAATGTTAGCACTGAAATGTATGTATCAAAATATATCATATTAAATTAATATACCTAAATGTGTGTACAGAAATGTATGCATCGAAATGTTAGTACTGAAATGTATTATATTGAATTAATGTCTCTAAATGTTTGTATCGAAATGTATGTACCGAAATTTGTGTATCTAAATTTATGCATCGAAATGTATTATAATGAATGTCACATCCCGGCTCGGGGTGGATCACTTCTCGGCCCCGCTCCACCACCATAGCACGATATTGTCCGCTTTGGGCCCCGACCACACCCTCACGGTTTTGTTTTTGGGAACTCACACGAGAACTTCCTGATGGGTCACCTATCCTGGGAATGCTCTTGCCCCCTTCTCACTTAACTTCGGAGTTCCTACGGAATCCGAAGCCAGTGAGCTCCCAAAAGGCCTCGTTCTAGGTAGGGATGGGAATATACATTTAGGGATCACTCCCCTGGGTGATGTGGGATGTCACAATCCACCCCCTTTAGGGGCCCGACGTCCTCGTCGGCACACACGCGGTCAGGGTTAAGCTCTGATACCAAATTGTCACATCTTAGCCCGGGACGGATCACTTCCCGGGCCCGCTCAACCACCGTAGTACAATATTATCCGCTTTGGGCCCCGACCACGCCTTCACGGTTTTGTTTCTGGGAACTCACACGAGAACTTCCCGATGGGTCACCCATCCTAGGAATGCTCTCGCCCCCTTCTCGCTTAACTTCAGAGTTTCTACGGAATCCGAAGCCAGTGAGCTCCCAAAAGGCCTCGTGCTAGGTAGGGATGAGAATATACATTTAAGGATCACTCCCCTAGGCGATGTGGGATGTCACAATGAATTTAATGTACCTAAATAAAGAAGACAAAGTACATCGAAATATATTATATAACAAAAATTAGTTTATCTAAATGTTCAACAAAATATATTACAATAAATGAAATGAAAATGAAAATCATAATGAAATAAAATTAATACATTAAAAATTAGGAAGATAAAGAGAAATAATTAAAAAATAAAAATATAATTAATAAATGAAGTTATTAATGTATTAAGGGACTAAAATTAAATTTTGATCTTACTCATGATTTTAATCTAAAAATCACATTTACCAAGAATTAAAATGAAGTTTTCTAATTTTTTTTTCTATGTCAAAGCGCGTAGTGGTAATGGTGATTAGTATGACGACATGATTTTAATTATATGGATGATCAAATAATATTTAATCGTTAAATTGCATGATCAATCGAACCACCAAAGTAAACAGAAGATTAAATATTTGATCGCTGAGAACGAAAGCATCTCTATAAAATTGCACCAATATGGTCTCTGACCTCACTGCATAGGTCTACATTTGCCCAAGCTCATAAACTCTGAATAAATAAATAAATAAAAAGTTGTTGTTTAGGTATGGAAAAATAAACGAGTAAAAGGAAACTTAATAGTTACAAAATTTTAAAGAAGTTTGCTCTGAACGCGATTGAAATATAGTTTGAGCAAAATGTCATCAATGAATAGTCTTCGATCTCTTTATAAGTGACGAAAATAACTAAATAATTATTTAACAAGCGCATGCATTGTGGTAAGTAAAAGTCCGGACATAGATTTAAGCATATTCGTAAATTTCTTAATAAAGCAAACAAAATTGCAGGCATCATCTGTATGCTAAGAACTATCATCGGACCGATAAATGCTCAAATACTTTTATTTGAACTCATATAACCTCACTTTACACCTAAGTTAAATGCGAACTGTCATTCATTCCCTCTTATATAATTACTATAAATACAAGATGAAATTAATAATAAAACTAAAATTAATCAATAAACCACGTCTGAAAATGTTGACTGAATGCATAATTGAGAAACTTTGGGTTTTTATGCAGTTGGGCAGTGCCAAATTCTTTGAAGGCAAAGAGAAAGGGAATGATAAGATGCGTACTTTTCGTGAAAACTTTTTCTAGTTTTTTGAGAAGGGAGTTATGTCTTATCTGATTAGGTGTAGTTTATTTTTTCGTTATTAAAAAAATTTCTCTTGTACTGTCGAGATTTCTCAAATAAAAAAAAAAAAAAATCGCCTTTTCTTTGCTGATGTGCATGTAGAGTTTCTGTTACTTTAACCAAGTGAGCTGTAATAATCTAGCAGCCAAATTAACATTACTTTTAGTTGGTGTGCACAATGTCTCGAGCCTTAGACGGATAGTTGGACCTGTCCACGACATTGTGCATGAACTCTCGCATGCATACACGTGTTTGTGATATAAAGAACTTCACAAAAATCATGAGAATTGAAGACGACGGACCTGTTGGGAGGAGAGAACGTCAACAGAGAGAAACGTATGCTTTGATTTTGGCTTTTTATTTTTTTTTGGAGCATTTAGATTTGGGTCTAAAAAATCAACATGATTATTATGTTAAGGTTAGTATTTTTTGTCTTCACTTTTATTTCTTTTATACTCATTTATATATTTTTTTTAAATATTAAAGATAAATTAAAATATTTTAATTTCATCTATTTTCTAATTCCAACAAATCTACTTAATATCTTCCAATAAAAAGAACTAATATACGATCACAAATCGATCCACAAAACTGTTTGGACCTAAATTAAAGGATTTGGGCCAAGTAAGATTATAAGCTCGGCCCATGGTTAGACAGGTTTTGAGTAAGCAACCAGCCCAAAGTAATTTACCCGAGTTTGAATTGATGAGGGACACTTGAGGATCAAGGGTAGATTCAGCTAAGTCCTAATTCAATCAAGAGTCTTCAAAGATTAGGATGACATAAGAATATTCATAATATTCTAAGGTCTGCTAGGAGAGCTTTTTCTAATTTAGTGCTTAAGCTATGTCAATGTTTTGTGTTAATTAGAAAGGAAGAAAAGGGGATGTAAATAGGAAGGAAGAGAATCCTACTCCGACTATGCCTTTGATTGATTTTGTTCCCTGATTAAAAAAGAATATGGGAGAATTAATTCCAGAATCAAAGTCATACATAACATGTTAGGAGAAATAATACCGTTCTCCGTATTCTTCATGAGTACATGAAAAATGTCTTTCCGAAGGAACAACCGACTACACCGACCAAGCTCATCATACGAATCTTGATGAACAATTTCCCATGCCATTTCTTGTATTAAATCATGCATATTTACATTGCTAGATTTGTTTCCATTGAGAGATTTCTCGACGGGAACATCCATCACAATACGACCACAATATCCACAGCTGTTTAATATTTAAATTACTCGATTCTGGTATATCCCCTTGCGGAAACATGCAACGTCGAGAAAAACTCTCTTTTGCAAAGCATCTAATCCATCATAACTTATTTTTAAAGTATAAAAAGTTGTTCTTAGGAATTTTCTTTGGACCATCCAACGCACCATTCTACGCATCTTGGTCTCTTATATACAGAAAAGACCCCAAAGTTTTGAGAGCTAATGGAAGGCCTCCTGCATACCACATAATCTTCTTCAGGCTGATCATTTCTAAAGGCTTTCCAACTAAAAAGTTGAAGAGCGTTTTTCCGCACAACGAAACCAACCTTTCTTTCCAGCCAATGTTTGTAGTTGGTTTAATTGATCTACATCATCTTTGTCATTGTTGTTCTACTATAAACGTCCCAAACTTGTGTAAACTTTTCCTTGTAGGCTGTGGAAAGAAGCTGTTTTTGTAGACGGGGGAGACCATGTGTTGCACAAAACCTCCCTCGCATTACCAAGAAAGCTGCTAACTTCACAATTATGGGATATTCTCTCATAAACTAGTCTAGCAATGGTTGTCTTGCCGATCCTACCCATCGACCATGTACCTATAAAGTGAACATCATTAGCCTCGGTATCTAAAAGCAAATCCAGTTGCTCGAGTGTCATACCAATTCCAATTAGTGTCTCTGTTTGACATAACCATGTGAATCTAGGATACGCTTTGTTCCACACAGCCTCAACGATTTCTTTGATAAGTTCTGTTTCATACCTAAGAGAAGGAAAAAGGAAATTAAAAATCATCGGACTCTATAATAATATGCGTAAATGTACATAACAAGGTAGTTGTGTTATGTTATTGAGAAACAAACATCATTATGCTTACCTATCCTTCGAAGTCCACCCAGCGATATCACCCACTTTTGTTAAAGCAGCTCCCCAGTGTTGCACCTTTGCTAAGTCTTCTCTGAAGTTTTTTTTCGTGCTTGTTGAAGGCTTCTGAAAAAGTCCCCATTTGGTTTCGAACATTGGAGGGATCCACATCATAAAATATTGGCAAAATTTTATTCCTAGCTTCCATGCATTCAACAATTTTTTAAAGTTCATCCAAGCATCAGGCGGATGAAGCATAATTCGCGGAGAGAACAATGATGGCCAACCTTGATTCTTCTATTGCGCGAAAGAGATCTGGAGAAATTTTTACCTCTTTCAAGCTCTAGGTTGTCTCTGAAAGTTTTAATTGCTTTAGTTTTAAATTTGTCATATAAATGATCTGTAAAATTCTTGCGGGTATCTTCACCCCTAAAGCTCAAGAACACGTCGTATTTCCATGGATGATCTGAGGAAGTAGGTGCGGAAGCTCTGCTCAACGCCATTGCAAAGTGATCCTGAGCAATCTGCTTCAAATACTGATCATTACCATCGAATCATTTCTAAACTGGTTCATAGAACAAAAGCTTCAAGACCAAAATAAACAAATAAATAAGAAAGGAAAAGAAAGGGCATTGTATCACCTATTTCCTTTACCACTAACCTAGTCTGGAACATTACATGATATGCAATCTGCTCAAGACAGTCAATTAATACACAAAAAGATGATAAATGACACTAAAACGAAAAGAATCATACCCTGACGGAGTTTTTTGGAACAGAAACAATGGAGAGAGAGAGAGAGAGATCAGATGCAGGGGAAACCTAAGAAGAACAGAGGAAGGGGTGATGCTCTTTGACTTTCATGAGAAAGAGTGTTGGAGCAGGAACCGCATCTACCCTCTCTGCATTAGCTCTGAAGACGCTCTCAACAAGCACCTTTCCTGTGACTTTTGCTTTACGAACAATGAAAATTTAATTTTGGTTTCCAGATGGGGGCACTTGATTTTTTAAAAGTTCTTAAGCTATGTTACCTGGATGGTTTTGTTTTTATAATTATTAAGTACTAGTAACTTGTTTGGATGGCTAATCAGCTTAGATAATGAAAAGTGTGAATGCCAGGCATTTGGAAATTCCTCCTGGCAGAGGATCTAACATTGTCGATCCCAGACCCCGTCTTCTGTACATACATGGTGGGATTGTACAGAGGCGAAGACAGCTTGCACATTGTCTTTTTATGTGGTAGTATGGCGATCTGACATTCATATCATCACCGAGATTTCATGATACATTGTTACTTATCTAGCCTTCAATTCAATATGTTGCTGTCTAGCAGCACTCAACAAACTTATTCTACAGCAACCAAAACCTTCATTATTTTGGCAAGGAAGGAAACATATATATGATTACTGATATCGTATCCAAATTGAACAAAGGAACACGAAAATTTGCATTAAGAATCTAACGTTAAAACGAAACAAAAATTGAAACAAAAAAAAAAGGATAAAGAGGAGAAGATTTCACCAAATGGATACATGAAATCATCAGGTGGAAGCAACACCAACATCGACACCCGACTCTTGTATTTGCTGCAACTCCTTCCTCCTAATATACTGATTCAGAATGGCAAGCCTGGCAGTCTCGAAAGCAAAGTAACCCAAGGCCGAAAAGCAAGCACTGTGAAGAACTCTAGGCCCCACTCCTCTAGTGAACCCCACCCACCCTTCCTCCATTATAATCTGCTTCACCGTCCCCGAAACTCCACCCTGCGCAGCACCCGTCATCAGCCTCGTCTTCACCACATCCAGCGGCGTCGTAATGGAGGCCGAAATCGCACCGGCCAACGCCCCGCACACCACGCTCTGTATCGGCTCCAAATTGGCCTGCTTCGTCTTGCTCAGAACCGCCGATTTCAGGTACTCGAACGAAGAATAGCTCAACACACCCGCAGGCAAGTTCCTCAGCAATGTCGCAGAGTACCCTGCGTACAGACCCAGAACGCCGTCGTTTTCTAGGATCTTCAGCAGCACCTGCCACGACCTCCCCTTGGCCCCGGCCTGCATCCGCTGCGTGATGAGCTCCTTGGGCACCATTATCGCGGAAGACACTATGTTGCCCATGGCTCCGGCCGTGGGAGGGATGAGGACGGGAGGGTAGTTGGGTAATTTGGAGAGAACCGACTTACCCAGTTCGCAGGTGCCGAAGTAGACAGCGGAGGAAGCGCTGGAGCCGACGATGACGGCGGAGATGCCGCTGTAAAACCCGGAAATGCCCTTGGTCTGGAATGTCTTGAGGACTGCATCGAAGGTGTTTGCGTAAATATCTGAGGCGCCTTTGGTCTGGAGCTTGGTCTTGATGGTGTCCAGAGGGTGGAGGCAGAAGTAGGTGAAGGCTCCGGCGATACCACCGCCGCCTGCGCCGATGAGGGCACGCTCGAAGACAGTGAGGTTCTTGAGCAGGACTTGGGTCTTGGGGTGGGTACTGGGTCGGGTAATGGAGGCCCAATTGGGAGTGGAGGAGGTGGACGCAAAGAAAGGGATGTGGTTTTGGGTAGGGGTGAGGGTGAGGGTAGTTTGGGAATTTGGAGTGATGAAATGGGTGAAGAGGTTTTGGAAGTCATTGGGAGACTGAAGGTGGTGGTTTTGATTGGTTGCGGGGAGGCCCAGAGAGGCTGAGAGTCTGCCCTCCATGGCTGGCTTGCTCAGTTGAGGCGTAGGTGAGCTTTTATTATCTACACCGACTAGCAAGAGGAGTGAGCGCCATGGAAAATGACAGAGTGGGAAGTCGGTTTGGATGAACAAGTTAAGTCGGCAGGGATATTTGGAAAATTAGCCAAAATTAGAAACACAGAATTTTAGGAAAACTAATAAAAAAATATGTGAAAATTTTGAGTATTAACGATCATGATAAAATAAAGAGTAAAATAAACAGTATCATAATTAACTTTTTAGTGTAAAAATATGTTTTTTCGTTAAAATGAAAAGTACCGAAAGCTTTTCGATAAAGTTGTCTAAAATTTTAGCCAATTATTATGTTTTAGATAATTCTAACCATATTTTGACATAAAAGTACTTAAACACCCTTAACTAAAAATTTTTAAAGCTAGCAACTTCTGTCGATGAAGAATCACCTAGAATGCCACGACCACCGTCAGAACCTCAACCATCAAGTACATCGCCGCCGCCACCACCACCACCACTGTCATCCCACTCACAAATCAATTAAACCCAATCGAAGCCACCCCACCACCATCTATAACCAATTAAACCACTATCACCATCCAAATCAATAAGGAAGGAGAAAAGCCGGTTTAATTATGAGCTTTCACATAGAAAGAAAATCTCGAAGAGTTATATGGATTTTTCATTTGATAGGTTTCTTCTGGTTTTTTTTTTTTTTTTTTTTTTTTGTCAAAAGGGAAAGATCTATCTGGTGAGCACTGGAGTCTGGAGTACGGAACATCTCGACTTCAAAGGAGCTTCTAAGGAGGTAGTGCATGGGAATGAATTGGCATTGGATTGAGCTGTGGGTGCTGGATAAAGTGCTACTGCAGGTAGTCGGAGTCGTGTGTCCTGTCATGAAGTAACTATGTAATAATAAATAATGCAACACCATGTGTCATTTATCCGGCTTGAGGCTTGTCTCAGCGCATGCGAGGAAAGGGTGGATTACAAGTTTTACAAATTTTGTGACAAGTCTCATTAGTTTTGTGGGACTTCACCATTTTATTCCAATTAGCTCAGAAAGGGTGGATTACAAGTTTTACAAATTGTTGTGGTGGTTGTTTAAGCTGGGTGGGCGTTAGTGCTTAGAGAAAAAAAATTTAAACGAATTCTCCGAGAAGAGGGCTAATAAAAGGGCATTGTAATTATATTGGTTAATAGAGGGTATTGTAGTGTATTTACATGTCAAATTTTGGTTAGAATTATGAATAATTATTTGGTTAAAATTCTATACATGATCCAAATTTGGGTTATTTTTCCAAGTTTCCCAGTCGGTAGGTACCTGTATCCTAATTCCTGAATGTGGAAATGAGAATTACAACTCGCTTGTATTTTAGACTAAACCCAAACTACGTTATCTAATTTTCTTTCTAGATTTTTCAAAAACCATACAATAAATTATACTAAATCATCTTAAACTATCAGGAGGAGATTCGAACTTGAGTGCAGAAAACTAGAGCACATTATGCTAACTTGATTATGCAAATTTCTTTCAAAATTTGTTATGGACCAATATGTTCGTTTTTCGTCTTCTTAGATAAGGGTGGACGATGATCGGTTTGATTTAGTTTGGCACATAAAATACAATAGGACCAACTAGCTAGCATTCAATGGTTGGATTTGGTTCGTTTTGACTAATACCACAATTGAAACCAAACCAAACCAAACCATTGTTAATCGGTTTAATTTGGTCAGTTTAAGACTATTCAACACATAAATAAAAAATGTACAACATTGTCAAGAGTTTTAACCTTCTAAACATCCATACATCTCATGCATTCCAATTCGATTGAAAGATTAAGTTTTTCGGATAAAGTACATCGAGTCAAATAAATTAAGTTTCAATTAAATAAAATCTCATGCTAACAAATGATTTATTAATTACAACCTCACATAAATGTATGATAAGACCTCTAAATCACCTATAATAAGTTGATATGTGTAAAATAAATAAATAATAATTAAAATATACATGATCGGTTCGGTTTGGTTTAGATTGATTTCAAAAGTACTAAAACCAAACCAAACCAAACCAAAAATAAATTGGTTCAGTTGATTTTTAAATTGCTTGACGTTTTTCTTGGTCATAACCAAACCAAGCTGATCGGTTTGGATCAGTTAGTTTGATGCCCACCCCTATTCTTGGGCCATACTTTTAATCTTGTGGTGTGACTTAGACTACATTATTATATTTGTGATCTTGTTCATATAAGTTATACTCTCGAAGTTTAGCTGGTTGTGTTACTTGATGGCTTGTGTCGCTTTGGTACATGTACAATCTTTCATGTAGAGGTGTCACTTTGGTAGTACGTATAGTTGGGCCGCTGAGCATGGCACGAACACTACACCGAGTTGATCGGAGAAATCTTCAAATTAATGTGGAGGAAGTGGAAGCTACATTCACGCTGTTAAATTCCTCACTAAAGTTAGTTGGAACTTCATTGCTTTTTCAGCAACGCTAGGGAACCAACATAGCTAGTTAAATCTTCATTCGTAAACAAAACAATCGAAAGCCGCATTGATATTTCTTGCCCATTCTGCAAAGAACCACATTATTTAAACAGTCACCCAAGTTTTATTAACAAGACCAGGTGCATCAGGTTAGGAATAAAAAAGCCTACAGTGTTGTAGTGAACCCTAGTCTAACAGAAAACCCTAATCACAAGCATACATAAAAGGAACTAGTTTGATACTTGTCAAAGACATTGTTGCAACTCAAGAATTTCTTCTACCCACTAGAACACTTTATTGCTGTTGCAATTCAACTTATAAACCTTCAGAAATCCTTAGTTTGTTTCAGTAGAAATGTGAAACGACCGGACCAGGATACACTAAGCAGTCTTCTGGGTGTGGTACGGGTGGACCGGCATGAAAAATATCTAGGATTACCTACTTTGGTGGGCTGAAATAAGAAAGCTTGATTCAACCATATACAGGAGAGGCTTTGGAAACGCCTCCAAGATTGGAAGAGGCGTATGTTGAGTGCAGCAAGCAATGAGATCTTAATTAAGGTAGTAGGGTAGGCTATACCCATATATGCCATGCAATGTTTCCTCTTACCTAAATACTTATGTGATGGCCTAAGTAAGATGGTAGCCAACTTCTGGTGGAATTGGAGCTAATGATTCCAGAAAGATTCACTGTATGTTGTGGGAAAAATTATGTTTACCAAAAAATAAGGGTGTCTTGGGTTTCAGGAATATGTACGCTTTTAATTTGGGTCTCCTAGCAAAGCAGGGCTGGGGACTTGTTAATGATTTGTCATCGCTAGTGGCCCAAACTTTGAAGGCTAAGTATTTCCCCACTGTATCCTTCTTTGAGGCAAAGGTGAAATCCAACGCTTTGCCCTATTGGAGAAGTATCTATGCCATGAGAACGGTGATTGAGATGGGCTCTCGTTGGCAGATTGGAACGGGTGATTTTGCCAAAATTTGGGATAACCATTGGATACCGTACCCTTCACGGTTCAAGGTTTTCTCACCCAAACCTTCTCACTACGGGCTAGTCTTTGTCAATTAGTTTATTTGTCCTGAATCACATCCATGGAAGGTTTCTTTAAT